TTTTCGTTTTTTGAATTTTCAATTTCTAACTTTTAGATTTTTAATTTTTCGATTTTTCAAATTTTCAATTTGCAAATTTTCGGTTTTCAATTGATCGATTTTTCAAATTTCAGACTTTTTAACCGTGCGATTTTTCACTTTTAGATTTTTCGTTTCTTCAATTTTTGGTTTGTAATTTTTCTAATTTTATTTTAAGTAAGTAATAACAATTATAATTTTTTCCGTTTTTTTATTATTGGATTTTAAAACTGCAATTTTTCAACATTACAGTTTTGACGATTACTACGATTTTTCGATTAACTTTTTTCAATTTTTTTAGTTTCCAGACTTTTAATTTTCCATTGTTTCAATTTTTCGTTTCTACTGTTCTTCGATTTGCAATTTTTGATTTTCCACTTGTGCGATATTGCAATTCTCGTTTTTACAGTTTTTGATTTTTCAATTTTTCGGTTTTTTAATATTTTCTTTGTTTCAATGTGAAAAATTTCAATTCATGCGTTTTTCAAATTTCCGCTTTCCAATTTTTTTATTATTGAACTTTTAGATGTTTCAGTTCTTCGAATTTTTCATTTTTCATTTCTTTAAATTTTGATTTGCAATTTTTCTAGTTTTATTTTAAATATGTAATAACTAATACTAATTATAAGTTTTTCCATTTTTCTATGATTGATGGATTTTAAAACTTTATCGTTTATTCGATTTTTCAATTTTTCGGTTCTGAATTTTTGAATTTCTCGATATTTGATTTTTCAATTTTTCGATCTTTCAGTGTTAGTTTTCCGACTTTACTACTTTGTCGCTTCTATAATTTTTCGATTGATTAACTTTTTTTAATTTTTGAGTTTCCCGACTTTTAGTTTTTCAGAGTTTCAGTTTTTCGTTTTTTCAGTTATACAATTTTCCTGTTTTTTCTGCTTTTTAATTTTTCGACTTTTCAAAATTTCGGATGAATAAACAAAAAAAAAATTAATACTCTTTGATAAATCTAAAAACTGGAAATCAAAGCTTTTAGATTTTTAATATTTCGATTTTTAATTTTTGAATTTCTAGTTTTCCAATTTTTCAATTTTTCGACCGTTCAGTGTTATAAATTTTCGACGTTACAGTTTTGAGGATTCGATAATTTTTTGATTTTACAATTTTTGGCTTTTCGATTGTTAATTTTCCGTTTTTTTCAATTTTTCGATTATTCACCTTTTCGAATCAGGAACTTGAAAAATTGAAGAAAAAAAATTGAAAAATGGAATGATTGAGATTCTTAAAAATGGTAAAAGTGCAAAATTGGAAACACGAAATATATTGTAAAATCGAAATATTGGAAACTAAAGAAATCGGAAAATCGGATAATTGAGAATTCCAAAAATTGCATAACTAAAAACTTTAAAAGTGAAAAAACTGTAAATCGAATAATAGAAAATTATGAAACCGAAACACTGAAAGGTGGAAAAATTGCAAAAATAAAGAAAATGAAAAAGCGAAAAATAGTGATATCAAAAAATTGGTCGAATATAAATGAATTCAGATTTTTCTAAAAATTATAACGTTTTATTTTGCGAAAGTTTTTTTTTATAATAACCGTTGTAAGTTGAAATAAAGTCTATATTCGATTATAATATTTTTTTCAGGACACAGATCTAATAAGACCAGAAATTTCTTCAAGCAGGCAACGTAATATAATTGAAGACAATCAAGAAACGAGGGAAAATAGCAACAAAAATAAAACTAGGCTAGGGGAAATTGAACATTGCTAGTCTTTGTTTAAAATATTACCTATTCGTGGACGGAACTAGCACACTACGATAACAACCGCGATGAGATATCAATACTTGACAAATGATTTTGCGTCATCTAAAAGTTACTAAATATTTACGACAGATTTATAATTTTCCTTATTTAAAATAGGACCGGGGTTTAAGATAGTATACAAAATGTCACAGTTTTAACATGATGATTTTTTTTATCATTTTCTGCTTTATATTGCAGACTTTCCGGAAAAGACCGGGAACCACCGACAAAGGAAAGCAATGCGAAGACATGCTCACCGCCAACGTCGTACAACAGCCGGTAACCGACGCTAAATCAAAAGATTTTTATATTTCTTCCAACAACGAAAATTTTGGCGACTTTAACAACCTAGTTATCGAAAATGAGACTAATCGGGCAATCGAAACAAAAGCACTCCAATTAAAACACAGCTAGCAGTCGAGGAAATTTGTCTGTGAAGCAACTGGTGAGCAGAAGTGGAAACTTTAGCATTGTCAAATATTTCAACTCTTTCCAAAAGATCCAGGACAAATCGCAACAGTTCATATTATTCACCAACAACGAACTGAAAATTTCCTGTGAAAGCAAGTTTAAACTCGAAGGAGAAGAGTTTTAGCTGAAGCCCAATAAACAGTTAATTCTAAAAGACGATTTCCACACCGTACGAATTTCTGACAATGTAAATTATTGTTAATGATTTAAAATTGTGGAGGACGAATCGACCAAACTAAATCCCGATTCGGTTGGTACAGATGTACCGCAGTTTGTACATGCTTCGTTTGGAGAGTATTTTGTTACTGTATGATGATATAATAGGAAAATTTAAAATAAAGATTTCATCTCTTGAGAACTTGTTTGATCTACAGACCAGAGCGCACTCAGGCCAATATCGACTCTAAGCGCGCCGACTTTCGTTAGAGCTGATCTGACCACAATTTCCGTGGGAAAGAATTGCTTGGTTGGATTTTGCAACGAAGTGCAAAATTTCTCAAATTAACAATATCGTTGGAATAGTCATCTTCAATAGATTTTTTTTTAGTTTTTCAGTTTTTAATTTCTCAATTTTTCCACTCTTTGACTATTCGATTTTTCGGCTTCCGGATTTTTTCTAGGGAAACTGAGAAACTAAACGAATTTTCTACGAATGGTAGGTACTTTTTAACTTACCCATTTTCTGTATACATATTTTTATCAAGTCTTATAGTTTTTACCCTCTGTCTATTTTAATTTTCAATTTGTCCCTTACTTTACTTATATTTTGAATATTCAACAATATTATCGATAAGTTTTTCCTTCAATATTTCATCCATAAATAACACCTTCCTGACAATCATCTTCAAATACAGTTATCCGAAAATTCGTAGTTTTGCACTGATGCCACTAAACTTGAACTGTTGGGACATTTTTTTCATGTATGTTATATTTTCGTAATTTAAAAATTGTCCCAGATAAAACTCCACAGCTTGATACCTGAGATCAGTTAAAAATATGGAAATTCTGTATCTGAACGGAATTGTTTTTAAACTTGAAGGGATTATCGTAATTAATACCAAAAACACAGACTGCGGTAAATATTACTATTATAATTTTAATTATTTCTAAGGGCTAAGGTATTTGACGAAGATAACGACAAATAAATAAGAATTGTATGTTGAGAAGAGGTGTCATAATTTGATAGAAAATTTCCAACGAAAGTGCGAATAAACACTCAAGTTTTATCGTTATCTTAAAATTGACCTTTAAAATATTTGGCTTTATTAACTTTTTAACTAACAACAAGCTTAAATTTTCAAGCTCTTAAAAACCTATTCATAAATTCATAAAATTGTAGTTAAAAAGTACGAAATTCTTTTAAAGAAAACTCTGTATGTCTTGGTATGCAATACACAAATAAAAACAAATAAACACGAAATACACCTTAAATAAAAAAAAGTGCCCCCAATTGATAGTGAAAATAATAAACACTTCAATTTTATCGGCACCTTAAATATGTACTTGTACTGTAATGTGAAAATGATAAGCGATAATTTCAAACTATGTACAAATCCATCTTTCTGCCTCAACAAAATTTAAATGCAAAGTTTCCGTTTAACTTGAAATTCTTGATCAACCGTCAAAACCTGCATCAAAATTGTTGACGATAGTGCCGTCTGATTTTTAAATAATTGGTGCTCTAGTTGGCCATGACGTGTATGTCAGTAGAGAAATTGAAACGGCTAACGTGAGCGTCATGGCCAATTAGAACAGAAATTTGAAAAATCACCCGATATTATTACCGAATATGTATTTTAAATGAATAAATATAAACACTTTCAGTCTAGACTTAATAACAAACTGAAATCAGGTTTGTAAAATGGATTACTCCGTTTTAACTGTAGAGAAAGCTTAATGACGCTTTTCCTCTTTGTGGAAAGAAAATTTCTTATACTTTGAACCTTGTTATTGAATTAAAATGTAAAATGTAGATAAACTAATCAAACTGATATTATCAGTTTAAACAAGCAATATTTTTGCATATCATGCCAGGTGTTGAACGCTCAAAGGTTTATAATTTTCATTTCAATGTTCTGATAAAGCAAAATTTCAAGTGCAAATAAAATTGGGTTGCGTCAATATAAATTTTATCTTTGTAACAAAAGTTCTAATAGGCACCTCAAACAACGTGTGACTTAAAAGAAAACGTACGACCGCTGGATATTGCAAACTTTGTTTGTAATATTGACCCGGACAGATGACAGATAGCAGACAAACAAATTGAAATAAGAGATCTATTTTTCGTATTCTAGGAGTTATAAAACGTCGAGTAAACGTGAAAGGAGCCAGTCCGTTGATAGGGTAGATTACAATACTTCCTTAGCTTTCGCTTGGAAAGTAATACATCCAAAATTTCACATAGGTTTTATGTCTATCAACACGGCAATTCTGAGCTATTCCTCTGTTCTGTAAAAGTAGACAACAGACGGACAGACGACAGAGAGGCATAAAATGAAGGCTTATTCTTTCATATTCTAGAAGTTATGGAACGTCGAGTAAACATAATAGTAGCTATTCGCAAAATGGAACTCATATAAAAAATAAACATTGCATCATCTTATGGTAACGCGATATTTTTTAGGAATTTTACTCTTTGAACTCCTTGATAACAGTAAATTATCAGATCTATTAGCTCCGCCTTCAGATTTTCTTATTTAAGGGCCACCGTTAAAAAAAATCGCAATAGATTATTGAATTACTACTGAGTAACCAATTCATAGTAATTATTTCGAAGTAATACTGCAATTTTAACTTATTTTATGAAAGTATCCTGCATCTGTGAGTGTTGAAAAGAAGTGAATGTTCTGAGAGGTAAGTTGAAAATTACAGTTAGAAGAAGTGTAGTGTTTTCATTGGTACTGAGAATAAATTATTCTTCCATTTATTAAAATTTACTAGTATCCATGATAACATAACTAGAGGTTCATTGGTCATTACCTCCTCATATTTCTACAAAAATATAGACAATATAAGAAAGATATCTAGAAATAAACATAAAATAAATGTTTATGTTTGTTTGTCTAAAGACAACGCAATGAAAATTTGTACAGTGCAGTTTCGACCTCCTTAGGTCTCATCAGTACAACATATTTGAATGGTTGTCTAGTAGTGATAGCAGGTGTAATCCAGTGTTCGGCGAGGTTCTTATCCGAGAAGTAGGTGTTTCCACCTACTGATTGATCCATTTATCAAGTGCACAATGAGTCACCACCGATATAATTCTCTTATATCTCACTAACAATATCTAGAATTTTTCTTTCCACACGCGTGAAGCGGGAGAAACATAATTAACACTGCAAAATAACAAAAAAAATTATATCTGCAAGGACGAATAAATTAACAAACTTGGGAATTAAGTTATATAATTATACTTATTTCTGCAGACACAATTAACGCCATGGACACGGACACTGACATGACGGACTCCAGTCCCGACGAAGAAATCCAAAGGCTGGAACAAGAATTAAAACATAAAAAGGAACAAAGAAAACGGAAAAAAATTGAAGCAAGGAACAGTGGTCGCTTACAGGCTCGTCAACCTGGAGACATTCCCTGTTCTTCAAAAACGGTATATAACCATTTCTATTTGTTACTTGTTAGATCCAATTAAAAAAAGAATTGGTGGAAGGCAATTTAGACAGAATTTCCCTAGAAGTATAGTCCTACAAATCCAGCTTTTTGTTTTGTGATAATCGCTGTAAAGTAAAACCCAGCGGCATAAATAAAACCCCCGCAGCTCCTGCGCCCTACGGACAATGCAAAATATACTTAAAGCACTTAATTAACCGGATAAAATGTCCTCCAGCACTAGATAGTAGCAATCTGAAGCTCAATTGTTTATTTATATAGCCAGCTGTATAATCCAAAAATTATGAATGGAATGATAAATCACAAGTCACCATATTTTGAACATTTTAGATAGGATTTATTGGCAAAATTTTGAGCTGACGACATCATTTTTTTGGAGGGGATATGCAAATATATTTTGATTAAAAATTTATCATGCTTATCATAACTTTAAAACATCTGCAAGATTTCGAAGCATTCGCTTCTGCAAATTCAAAATTAAGTTGCAAAATGTTATTTTATATTTTTCTTTCAAAAATCTGGACGTTTCGTGTTAAAATTCAACGCGGAGTCATAAACTACTGGTGTAGGACTATGTTATTTTATACAATTTAAAACCCATTTACTACGTACAATTTTGAGGTGACTTAATCACATTATTGGTGGGGATGATGAGACAAAGTTTGATTAGTGCTTTACCATCTACGTGATATTCATAATAAAGATATAAAATTTGACAACAATCGGTCCAGTAGTTTCGGAGATATTTGTCTAATAATAATTGGGACAGACGGCAGACAGACGGACAGACGGACACACGGACAGATAGACGAAAACATTTCTTCGTACTGTAGGGGTCATAAAAGTGCGAGAAAACGTAAAAGTAGAGAGTCGGTGGACGGACTCCATTAAAATACTTCTTTCGCTAAATTATTCTCTTTACTTTTTAAAAATTAGGAGTATAAAATTTAAATTTGCGAATTTTATTTTTACTTCCTGAGCGTAACCAAAAAAAAATATTGTAATCGGTGGGCGACTGGCTAATTTCATGTTTTCTCTTTGATTGTTTTTTTTTAAGCATTTAAATGGCAGTTCTTTAATTGAGGATGGTAAAATATTAAAAAGCTTAATACCTATGTAATTAGATGACTTTTGGGGTTCGATATATGCGTTGAAATGGTAAATATGGCAATCGTTACAGTGACGAGTTGTTTAACCATATTTATCTAAATTTAAAAAAAATCTGCGTTTTCTTTCACGTGTAATAATGTCATATATGTACAAATACATATAGAGGCTTGGTAGAGGAAGAATACCAAATTTTTGAAAAATGGGTTTGCAACTATCATATGGTTTACTGTTGTTAATGACTCTTATTGCACTTTTCTGAATTTTAAATATCCTTTCACTCTGGCTAGATGACCCACATAAAATTAAACCATATGACAATAAAGTTTCAAAATTTGAATGGTAAAATGTGATTACTGTCTCGTGGATGCAAAATAATTTCAATTTATATATCTGATATATAACTTTATTCAGTTTTAAAGCCAAGTTTTCTATGTGATCTGGCCGCATTAGCTTGTTGTCCGCATTAAGTCCTAATAATTTCATGGAATTTGTGACAACTTCATTATTTGTGGTGAATCGTAATTTTCGTAAATGTTGTGTCTTATTGTGGTTCACAATTAACTTATTTATTGAAAACCATCTTTTGACTGACTTTGAACTGAACTCACTTTTTCTGCATGTGCAAGTTTGATGTCAGATTTTGCAACATTTAAAATTGTCGTATCGTTTGCAAATAAAATTTGGCGATGACTGAATGTTTACAGATAAATCATTGATATAAATTAGGAAAAGGATTGGCCTCAAAATTGAACCTTGAGAGACACTTTTAAGAATTACCTGACTGCCAGAAGTTTAATTCTTTATTGAAACTATTTAAGATACCTATATCTCGCAAATAAGACTTAAAAAATTCATTTGTATTACCACGTATGATCGACACAACCGAACGCTTTTAATAATTGAGGCTATATTTAATTACACTGTCTTTAAAAAGGTTGTTTCATGTGTGTATTTATCAGTAGATAAGATCATTTCGTTAATTTTAAAGTACTGAAGAAAATACAAACCTAAAGGAGAAGGTTGGTGAAGAAGTTTGTGAAGAAACAAATAACCCTTTATCGAAAAAGGTAAATTTATTTATAAGGCAATACTAATTAAACAACTTTTAAAAAACATACTTTGGCTTCAAAATAAAACGGCCGAAGTGAAAAATTCCACGAGTGATTTGACCTCAAAACAATACTTACTTCAAAGTGCTAACGTCTTGCTAAATTTAGGTCGCACTGACTCTTCAAAATCTCAAGCTATTATGATATAGCCGAAAAGATATTGGGCATTTATTGTATTTATGTGGAGGCAAACTCGCAACTTAAACCACTGGACGCGTTTTTATTTTTAGTCATTTTGTATTAAAATCCAGCTAGTGGCTTTCAATAGGTGTTTAATTTATGTCCCGTACTGTATAATTTTTTGAGAATTATTTTGAACGTGTTGTAATCTGCTGTAACGGGGAACCACTCATTAGCTGTGAATTTCTTTAAGTCAATTTACGAATTTTCATTTTATAAACTGAGCATCAAACACCGAATTAAACCCATTCAGCCACTTAAAAGAAATTTTATATTTTTTATTTACTTAACTTCTTATTTTATTTCTTTGGACGTTTGAAAGTCTATCCGTTTCTATAATAATAATAATAATAGTCAGATTAGATTAGCACCAGTAGGTCAGAGTAGTGTAGGTCACTTTCCAAGTGATGCGCGGATAAATGATCGGTAGTTACGCTAGACTTTTGGGGATGGGGTGAGATTAGAGAATAATAGCAGACTAATTTGTATGCTGTAATTCTAGAATCTCGAAAGTTGTTTTGTTAATCTAATCAATGCATGTCATTACTTGGTCTTAGTACCCGTAATGATAGAAGTCTTGCCTGAAAGCCGGTCATTTCCGGGTCAGTGGTGGGTCTTAATAAAAATCATAATAATTTAGTACAGCCCAACGAGCAAACCCATATAGGGCAAAATAGTACAAAATAACATTTGAATAATTTCACAATAAACAAAAAAAAGCATACAAATTATCAGTAAGTAGACGCGTCTAGTACATCTAAGTGCGCACCATTAACGTCATATTTAGTACATATAGGGGAATGCAAGTGTTGATTAGTACGTGATACCTGATTAGAAAATACAAGTGGTTGACGATTATTAAATCTAGGTACACAAAAGTTAATCTAAGAAAGAAGGCTACTGTCCTGAATAATGCTATGTAATAACTTATATAAAAATATTAACAAGAAGTACCTACTTCCGTCAATCTACAAGGGGTATTAAATCGAATTCAGCTAGCAGTAGTTTCTGTGGGTACCTTAATTCTAATTACGGACTGGATATACCCCATGTTTTCTAAAGTACACGTACTTACAAAATCTTCTTTGGATATTTTCTAATGCGGTAATAATCTAATTTTGTAATACGGATCCCATACTAACGTACAGTACGGCAAAATGGAGCGAACATAAGCGAAGTACAATAAAAACATGCAATCGGTATTTTTGAAATCTTTTGTAGTGCGTATGACAAAACCTAACATCTTCAGAGCTTTACAGTGAATATTATTAATGTGAGGTACGAACGACAGTCTAGACTTCATAATGATACCTAAATCTCTAAATTCAGTACATCTCTTAATTTGTACACCTTCAATATTATAGTTATATTCTATAACATTAATTTTCCTGCTATATGACACAATGCAGCACTTGTTAATATTTATGTCTAACTTGTGTATTTGACATCAACGAATGATTGCATCAAGAACTTTCTACAACTTTTCACAATCCTGGAGATTATCAATTATTTTTGCTAATTTAATGTCATCCGCATACAAAAAAATACGCCACTCAAAGTTTAAACATTTTGCCACATCATTAATACATATAAATTATGAATAATAAGGGTCCTAAATTGGATCCGTGACAAACACTAGAATGGCATTCATACACTGATGACCTATAACCTGAATATTCAACATATTGCTTTTGGCCACCTAATATCGATTTAAAAAGATTAAGTAAACTGTCGCATAACCCGAAATTATGTAACTTTTTCAATAGAATTGTGTGATTAACAACATCAAAAGCTTTGGATGGGTCCATGTATACCGTATCTACCTGTTGTGTGCAGCTTAAAGAATCTGAGACAAATTATGTAAAATTATATAAATTCGTACGTGTTGATTTACCTCGTACAAAACCGTGTTGGTGATCTGTTAACTGCTGTAATACATGGCTATAAACGTTATCAAACAATATGATTTGAAATAACTTTGCAAAGTTTGGAATAATTGCAACAGGTCTGTAGTTTGTTGTTGTTGTCTCAAATTTAGGGCTGGATTTGAAGATAGGACATATCCTTGCAATCTTCCAACTTTCTGGGAAGACCTCCGTCTTTAAAATTAAAGTTATAAAGATGTTCGAGGTGCGTGATATGATAAGACAAGATATACGTACAACCAACAAATAAAAAAAGCCGGAATAGAATCAGCACCCATTGAAAAATTTGCTTTGATTTTCCGCGCAAATTTTGAAATATCCTTTTCATTTATGACAAAATTGTCTAAAACAGGTACATTTAAAATATTATCACAGATGTTATCACAGTCACATTTCGTATCACATTTTTTATTATCACACTAATTTGACTCACAAACGGGTTACCACTATTATATTGTTTAAACACGCTGCTGAATAAAATGGCGAAGTTATTAACAATGTCCTGAAGATTGGCAAGTTTTTTCTCACTATGTGACACGACTCCGGAAATTCTTGACGGTTTGTTTTTCTCATTTACAAAAGACCATAGCTGAGAGGGATTACTTCTAATTTTCTCTTCGCAGAATTTAAAATATTCTGGTATTCTTCTCTTGCTGCAATTCTTATTCTTTGATTTAATTGCCGCGCCCATTCTTTGTGGGACAAAAGCATATATATTTTATACATTTTCCAATGATACTTTCTTTGTATTATTGCTCTAACAACCTCGGCATTAAACCATACTGGATAGATGTTTTTTCGTTTGTTTATTCGTTGACGAACGTATATACTCGTAGAAAATAATTTAGTAATAACATTAGTTAGATATTCACAGCCGTTATTTTTATATCTTCAGGTCTCTATTCACGTATATCTTATTCTTGGTTCGATAATTTCTTAGTACATGTGAAACATCTTCCAAGGAATTTATTGTAATCAAAAGAGGTCTAATTTTATTGTCAACTCTTTTTCCTAAACGCATAGTCTTAACAATCAATGCTACATTTACCACATCTTTTCGAATGCTTTCAATGAATTTTTTGCTATCCTCATTCTTGTTATCAATCTCATCACATTGTTGGCACGTCTTTATAGGTCATGTATTTCTGCTATCACATCTTCTTGATTTAGCTGATCATTAAGTTCATTGACACCCATAGGCGTTCCTTTGTCCTCAATGTTCTTGTGACTTAAAAATCATTAATTTTCTGGACAATATTGCAATTATTGCAAAAATAACGCAGTCTACGGCGTCCTGATTTTAAACACTCAGTCTCCGCTCGAGAAATATCTGCACAGTTTGTGTGATATACTTGACCACAAATATCGCAAGTTACACCTCTGCCATCATTACACAAGACATCGCACTTGGCACATGGAACAGACATAATTCACCAAAAAAAGCTACTGGCCGATTCCCCTTAGATTTTCTCGACTTTTCATGATTTTTAGACCACGACGAAATAGGTCTCCTGTTTCCGTTTGTCTGTCTGTCTATCGTCTGTCCGAATTTTTAATAAACATATAGTCTCTGAAAGTACTGGGCTTGATTTCAAATTTTTGTATTTATATTAAGACTATCATCTATTACGTAGATAATAAAACGCTAACCAAAATATGGCTAATCATTTGTACCATCAACAGTAAATTTGTATTTATTTTTATAAAATAAGATACTCCTGCATTTGTGGTGTATGAATTCGCGTTGAGTTTTCACTCTAGACATTCAGATTTTTGGAGAAAATTGAAAATTGTAAGTATAACAGAATTTTGCAATTTAACTTTGAAATTATACAACCGAATGTTATGAAATTTTGCAGACGTTTTAAGGTTATCATAGTCATGGTAAATCGTTAATCAATATATTTTCGTTTTGACTAAAAAATCGTTTCTGAAATATGCAAAATATTATGACTCTATATATGTGGTTTATCAATACATTCATAGTTTTTAGAATTACTTATACAGGATGAATCAAAATAATTAATGAATGAGACAATTTATTTTATTAATTAAATCAAGAATGGCTCACTAAATTTTTGGAAAATTTGGGAATACAGTACTATTATTATTAATATTAAACTGCATTTGTCCAAATTGATATACGCGTCCATGCAAAATTGTTGATGACGTCATCACAAAATTCTGTAATAGAAGAACTCACCTGAAACAAATGTTTAGCACGCTTCTTTACTTTTACTTTAACATTACATACAAATCTATATTTTGATTTATAAGAGGTGCCATAAAAACATAAAAATGGCAAAATCAAAACCTATAATTCTTCGAAAAAGGAGAGGAAAGTTCTATTGAAATAACCTTCAACATTATTCATATGCACATACAAGCTGATAGGCGACTTTAAAATAATAATGAAATAACTCAAAATGATAACAATTAATGTTACAACAAACTATGTTTATGTTATTATCTGTACCGATTTATGTTTCAACCTTTTACAAAACACAGTGGGACAGTAAAACTTATTTTTTATAATTATAAAATCTAGGCTGAAAAGTAACAAGCTGGCATATTAACTATTTCATCTGAGTCAGAAATTTATATTTTAAAACGGATTCTAATTTTTCTCGATGTATTCACGTTGTTGATTCAGTTTCAGACTTTCAAAAAACGAAAAGGCGCCACCGATAAAGGAAAAAAATACGAAGATTTGATCACCGCTAATGTCGTACTACAATTGGTAAGCGATAGTAAAATAAAAGACTTCCGAATTTCATCGAACGACGAAAATTTTGGTGATTTTGATGACGTAGTTATTGAAATTGAGACAGATAGCGGAACAAAAATCAAAGCACTGCAATTAAAACACAGTAATGATAAAAGACAATTAAATACAAATCAGCTGGCAGGCAAACAGGGAGACTTTAGCTTAATCAAATATTTCAAATCTGCTCAAAAGCTGCAGGGCCAAGTGCAAGAATATATATTATTCACCCCAAAAACTCTTACAACTTCAGAAGAAACAAAATTTAAACTCGCGGGAGAAGAATTTTACCTGAAAGCTATTAAAAAAACAGTGTCAGTAGACAATTTCGACATTTCAAGAATTTCTGAAAATATAAATTATTATCATACATTTCAAATCGTAGAGGACGAATGGACTACAAAAAATCCTGAAAAGATTCAGCAGTACCGAACATTCTTCGAAAGCTTTCGTCTTTACACAAACCAAGAACGTTTTGAAGCCCTTACAAAATCAACAATGAATAGATTTACTGACATGTTTGGTTCTAGCGAAAAAACCTTCAAAGAATACGTCGACGTCATTTCGGAATGGAGTTTGAAAGACGGGAAAAAAGAAAAACTAAGCAAAAGAATGATGCAACGTGCAATGGTACTTCGTTTGCTTTCTTCTCAGATTGAACCATTTGTTTTTGGTTCAGTCACAAACAAAATGGAAATACTTCGAGAGGCTATTTTTTCGTTCGACATTACGTTATTGGAAAAGGAAGGCAGCAATGCAGTTAAAAAGTTGTGGGGCGACTTGGACAAAAACGTTAACCTCGAGGAACTAAACAAAGTGCGATCACTTTATTCTCTTTCTTTAAATTATATAAGTAGTGTCAAAAATCTGGATGCAAATTTGTTGACACAATTGCTATGGCTGATGGAGAAATGTCCACTGATTGTAAAAGAACACGACAATATAGAAAAGGCTATTAAGCTTTGTCCTGATGCAAAATTTATTATACTTGGTAAAGGGAAATATGGAAAATGGATGAAGGAAATTCCCGTGTTTTTAAACCTATCTGACTTGAGATCAAAAGGCGAGTTGTATGACGAAGTGTTGCAAAATTTCACCATCTCTTTACAAGGAAAAGAACCACTTAATTTAGCGACTGCTTTCCAAAAAAATGACGAAATTTCCAAACATGTAACTGTGATCAAACTTTTGGAAATGTCAGAGGGTTCATGCTATGTAGGTGGACAGAAAGAAACGTTTCCCAATCTTTACGTCGACAGATATTTGTCTGTCAATATTATAGATATTAAATATTTACAACGTGCAAATCAAAATACTGTTATAATTCTGAATTGCGAAGAAAATTCTGAGCAACTAAAAATAACTCAAGAGCATACACTAATAGATATAAACGATTTTTTCACTTCTAGAGATTCCAAAATTTTTGATACTGCACTTTTTATACAAACTAAAACCGAATGTAGCGATTCTGATTTTCAGAAAATTTATTCTAAAACACCTACATCTAAATCTATACATTATTTTAAATATCTTAAAAATCAAAATTTAGAATGGGTTCGAAGTAGAGGGGATGTTAGTGAACTGCGAAATTATAAGTTGCACAATCATTCGAAAACTCAAAACCAAATTTGGTCTTTGAAGTTGAGTAAGCATTATTTACATAATCAAATAACAGGTGATGCCAGTGAATTGAGAAACAATCATTTAAAGAGTTTTTCCAAAAATGAGAAAGAATTTTTGTCTTTCGGGTTCAGTAATAACATAAGTCTAATAACAGGGGATCCGGGAATGGGCAAAACTGAATTAACAAAAAGTTTAAAAAACAATTGTCGTTCTAAATATTGGACGGTGATTATGAATCCTCAAGATATTAATCTACTTTTTAAAACTTTACAAAATCGTGAGTCGTCGAATTACTTAAATCGGTTCGAATCATTTATTTTCAACCAAAAATATCCACATTTTGAACGGTTAGATCAAGAGTTTCTCAAAATGTGTTTGAAGCAAAAGAATGTAATTTACGTATGGGACGCTCTCGACGAAATTTTGAGTAAAAATTTGGACGCTACTTCATCGTTAATTCTTCTATTATCTAAGGAAGGTTTTACTCAATGTGTTACCGCAAGACAACACTTGAAATCATTTCTTGAAAACAAATTTAATGTGCTGTCAGTGAGTATTAATCAGTTCAACCAGAGAGAGCAAGAAGATTACATTAGAAGACGACTTGCCGATTTTTCTATGTCTGTCGATATGAAAGAAACGATCGAGAAAATTAAATCCACGTTTGCGTTCACAAAACACATAGATATTTTGGGAATTCCACTTCAGATCTTTATGCTTACAGAAGTATTCCTCCATAGTAAAGAAAAATATGAAGAATTATTCAACAACAAGTTTCTTTTGACTGAATTATATGGTTTTTTTGTTGACGGAAAATTTAAGTTCTTCTTCGAAAGCAAAGTGCCTGCAAATAATGATTATTGGGAAGAAGAATACAAGAAGAAAAAGGAAGAAAAACTAAAACACTATGAAAAGTTGGCGCTTGGAGTAATATTTTCTGAAGAAATTTTGAAGGAATTAAAGATCGACTGTTCAGTAGATGAAAATTTAGTATCTGAAGATTTCGGTACCGTTGGTATCATAACGGGATTACAAAATGGCATTCCGCAGTTCGCACATGCTTCCTTTGCCGAATACTTTGTTGCCTTATATATTTCTAAACATTTTGAAATGATACCCGCAGATGCATTTTTTGATCAGAGGTATAACAACGTACGATTTTTCTTTGACATGATAACTGGTAAAATTTCATCTGCGCACATCGCGGTCTTGTACAGAAATTTTAATGAATTGATGAGTTATGATGACGAAACAACAAAATGTAAAGATCAAGGTGGAAGAAGTGCTTTACACCTCATTTGTTCTTGGGGACGAAGATATCCACGTTTAAACGTGGAAGAACATGATGACGTTTATATAATCGATGACTACTTTTATAGTGTCCCAGAAGAAACAAAAGAATATTATAACGCATTGTTATTTTTGTTAGACAAATGTGAAATTTCAAAAGAAGATGAACTTAAATACACGCCCCTAGCATATGCACGGAAAAGTCAAAGTTTGAGAGCGGAACTGGAATTATTACAGTCAAGACAATCACAATTTCAACATTCCTATAGTGAAACAGATGTAATTAATATTTTATTTCGTTCTGCTCAACTTGGATACGACGACGCGATAGAAAAGGTTATGCCGACAGATGCTGGCTTTTGTAAAAAAGTAGCAAATTCTCGTGATGTAAATTTTAAAACCCCCCTGTTTATAGCGTCCGGAGCGAGACACGTAAAAGTTGGAAGTAGCGGTGGCCATGGTCAAACATCGCTTAATGGAAATGTCAGTTACGACCGGCAAAAAGTTATCGAACGTTTAGTCAAATATGGGGCCAGAATCAATAAAGCTAATCAGCAACGTGAGACACCGCTCTATGCAGCTTCCTCTCAAGGTAACGAAAAAATTGTCGAATGCCTGGTGAAACACGAAGCCGAAATCGATCGCGCTAATGAAAATGGTGAGACACCACTTTACGTAGCTTCCTTTCAAGGTCAGGATAAAACTGTCGAATGCCTGGTGAAAAACCAAGCCGAAATCGATCGCGCTAATAAGAATGGTGAGACACCACTTTACGCAGCTTCCTCTCAAGGTCACGATAAAACAGTCGAATGCCTGGTGACAAACGGAGCCGAAATCAATCGCGCTAATAAAAATGGTCAGACACCACTTTATGCAGCTTGCTCTGAAGGTCACGAAAAAACTGTCGAATGCCTGATGAAATACGGAGCAAAAATTAATCCAACTAATAAATATGAGAACACATTGCTGTACGCAGCTTGCTCGAAAGGTCACGAAAAAATTGTCGAATGCCTGGTGAAACACGGAGCCGAAATCAATCGCGCTAATGAAAATGATTGGACACCGCTTCACGTAGCTTCCTCTCAAGGTCACGAAAATATTGTCGAATGCCTGGTGAAATGTGAAGCCGAAATCAATCGTGCTGATAAATATGGTTACACACCGCTTTACGCCGCTTCCTCGGAAGGTCACGAAAAAGTTGTCGAATGCCTGCTGAAATGCGGAGCCGAAATCAATCGCGCTAATAAAGATGGTTGGACACCCCTTCACGTAGCTTCCTTTCAAGGTCACGAAAAAATTGTCAAATGCCTGGTGAAATGTGAAGCCGAAATCAATCGCGCTAATAAAGATGGTTGGACACCGCTTCACGCGGCTTCCTCTCAAGGTCACGAAAAAATTGTCGAATGCCTTGTGAAATGCGGAGCCGAAATCAATCATATTTGTGAAAGGGGTTGTACACCACTTGACGTAGCTGTCTTGGAAGGCCGCATGCAAATTGTCGAATACTTGATGAAACACGGAGCTAAAACCAATGGCGCCGATGGAGAAGGTCGGACACCACTTCAAGCAGCCTCCGGAGACGGTAACGAAAAAAATGGTAGATTATCCACTGGAATGCGGTGCTGAAATCAATGGCGCTAATGTAGGAGAGAAAATCATTATCACGATGAAATCATTTTTTTTTTCTTTTAAACAATGACAAATGGGCGTTACCTTTTTTTTCATTTCTAACTTTACTAAAATGTCAGGATTGAACATAATTAAATCATAAACTCACTTTTAAGTCGTCAGAGATGATATCTGGATAATCACAATTATTTCCTTGTCAGTTAGGCCGGTGTCGAGGTGAATCGGTTTTATCAACAATTACTCAACCTGCAAAAATGCAAAGGGGGGGTGTGAGCCATCGATCTCCAAGATTGCCAGATGCAATCTGCTACTTCAGTGATATTTATTACCAGCGAGTCCGTGTCTTTTATTTAATTGATAATCAACAAGTTCAGTACCATTTTATTATGATCTGCATAAGACTGATTTACTTCACAAATTATTCAACAATGAGCTCTGTCCAAGAGGTTGGAGTCAAAACGGTCTCTATCGTCTGATACGGAGTGTGCAATGAGTACTAAGGGAATAGCGCGCGAAGTACTCACCCTCGCTATCGACAATGGCGACTAGTACTGAGTCGTGCAATGGGGCGAAGGGAAAACGGCGCACGACGCCCCCGCTCCAGTTACTATCCCAGGTCTAGTATCAAAGAGTGCAGGGACACCAAGGGAAAGGCGCGCGAGGTGCCCACTTTGATAACCAGTCCTTTGACCACGGACATCAAGGGAAGGCACGCGAGATGTCCGACTGACAACTCTGTCCGCCACAAACAGACACTTCCCCCGCCACAAACGGGAGGCTACCCGCAGGAACGGATAGTTCACACAAAAACGGGTAGTACCGGACTGTGCAATGGCAAGGGGGAAAAGGACGCGCCCTCACCGGCCCCAGATACTACCCCGAGTTGCCAGTTAGGTAACACAGGAAGGTGGACAGCTAATTAAATTAGCTCGACATGTCAAGGCTCATTTCATCCATTATTATATTCTCAATTTCTCTCAATTTCTGTTAACATTATTTGACAACTGACTCGGTACCACTTATCAATAATCAGGTCAAATACAGCAGTAATGATAAGGAACGGACTCACCGAATTATTGCAGATTATCCAATTAGACTTAATGATGATTAGCAGTACGGATTACACCTTTGTGAAATCGCGCTCACATCACCACACCCTCAAGAACCGATAACTCAGTGATAACACTCACCTCAACACTTTTCTTTATTATAATAATATAACAAGAATAATAGTCACTTATTCGCTGAATGTAGTCTACACCCGATCGCGTCCGGCTTAAAACTGAAAACTATTCCTTCGGACCTTTTTGGTAAACATCCCGATAAAACACAGGGCCACCCATCTGGGCCAAGTCACTCATCAGGGTTCGCTAATGCACCAGTCAAGTGGTTATCGCCCTAAATAGCAGATTCGATATGCAAGTGTAACGTCGTACCCTTGGCGGTCAGATTATTAGTGTGAACGGACATAAGCCCCTTTTTTTTTGTGACTGGGATATTTTTATCAGCGGTCGTAAACGCCATAAAATTCTTTAACTACAAAATGTCTTCGTCAATTCTCAAAATTAATTAGAAAAGAAATATCAGTCCCAAAACTTTCCTACACTAATAAAAATGGTTTTACACCGCTTTACGCAGCCTCCTGCAACGGTCATGAGAAAATTGTCGTACCCCTAGTGAAATATAGAGCCGCAATCAACCGCACTGATAAATTATTATCAATTATAATATAACAAGTGATATGATTATTATCGATAATATTTCGAGTGAAACCGAGCTGCAGATTCAACGAGTGCGAAGCACGAGTTGAATGTGCTGCTTCGGTTTCACGAGCCATATCTTCGATTATTATTAATCATATCACGAGTTATATTCAACATGAGAATATAATAAATGAACACATTTTTTGATAATAGAATTGATTTCGTCGTTTTGAGCTTGCCCCCAACGTTGGCAAGCCATAAAAGACAAAAAAAATTATGAAATTCTAAAATTTGTCAATTTGACAGTTATTAAATTTAGGTAGCAACAGACCACAATAAGGCAATAAAATTATTATCGCTGTGATAGACATGTAACTAAGGGCATGAACAAATTCTATTGGAAGAAATGAGGTCATGTGATACATGAATTATATTCTCACTAAAGTAAAGTGGTGTCCGACCATTAAGGTCGAACACCACTTTACATATCATCGAAGCATAAACGCATGAGAATAGTGGAATTTCTACAAGAAAAACGGTGCAACGAAGTAATTAGAATTTCAATTATTTAAAATGCAGCGGACACTGTTTTAATAAAAATCAATAAGTTTCACACACAAAATAACCCGATTGTAGATTTTTGTGACTCGCATTACTAAAAACTTTCAATAAAATTTCAATAACGTGCCAATATGGTATCAGAGTTACATAAGTGAACAACGGTTGTAGAGTCTAGTACGATTGCAATCAGATTAGGTAAAAAAAAAGAGTGTGTCGACCCAGGGACGCACGGATGGAGTTTTAATTCTGCGTTGTCAATTTTTATAAATTAAACACGTATACGCGGCGAAGTCATTAATTTTCTCTTAAGAAAAAATATGCATATTTTGACAAAATGATGATGATTGGATTAATTAAAGTAAATAGCTATCCATATATTGTCAATTGCTGTTTATTATAAAATATACTGCTACGGCTAGGGACACGGAATGTCAAACGACAACCAACTTTCTGACATTTAAAAACATTGTACCTAGTCTTATACCTTATTGTCATTATGATTGACAGGTCGTTTGAAATTCCGTGTCCCAAACTGTACATTTTTTATTTATTTATCATATAGAAATATCATACTTAATTATTATAATCCAATCCAAGAACCATATAATTTTGGTCTTTAACTTTTTTTGTAATACTTAATACATGAGATATCGAAGGCAACGCACTCCCATTCTAATCCCCTAATTCCACTTTGCCAAAGTTCATCCAACAATTTATCGTTGTTAACAAGGTCAAATGCTCTACTCAACTTTATAAAAAGACCGACGCAGTTTTTTTAGGAATTGAATGATTGCCGTTGACGGTGATTTTCCTTATGGAAAACCGAATTGATTTCGTTCAGTTTTCTCTAGAAATGTATTCAATCTTTTTGCAATAATTTTTCTATAATTTTCGAAAAGCAACTTAAGTTTGATATAGGTCTATAATTAGTAGAGTTGTGCCGACTGTAGGTCTGGCCGACTAACCGACTAGCCGATTGTTCGGCCAGTAAAAACCTACTAGTCGGCCGACTGTTCGGCTTTGCTAAAACCGGTTTATAAATGCAACAGACAGTGTGTTTTTTTTCTATTTCTCTGACTACCTTAAAAATTTGTTTTATTTTAATAAAAGGATTAACCAAAGTTCCTTTATTTTCCAAAAAAATGTGTTAAATTTGTTTGGATAATTTTAACATTTAATTGTTTTTAATAACTCAGTACAAAAATAAAGAATAACACAATTTAGGGCCAGTTTGTACAATATTTTAACTAAGATTAAGTTGATCGCGCATTTAACAAGGCCATTAGCGACGTCTGATTGGCGTAGTGTCCATCACATGGTACTTTAACGCGGGGTTAAACATGAAATCGCAATTAAATATTTAATTGAGGTTCTGTAAACCGAGTTTAATTGTTTTATATAGTATTTTAATTTTAATAAAAAAAAGCCGACCGATCGGCTGTTTAGCCGACCAGTCGCCGACTGCCAGCCGCCGATGAAAAACGGCCGAATAGTCGGCTTATCCGACTGGTCGGCCACTAGTCGGTACATCCCTAATAATTAGTTATTTTAGTTGGATCATCTTTATTCAAAATTGAAAAGGAAATTGTACTTTTTAGAGAATTTAGATATTTTCCAGTCTTACAAATATTATTTATTACGATCTTTTATATGTCTTTTATCTGAACAGCACAATGTTTTTAAAATATAGAGTTTATTTGTCAGCCACCGCAGTGCTAGTTTTTATTTCATGTATCATAAGTATTATGTCATATCATAAACTTCAGTTTCTGTAACTGGTTTTAGAAAGAAACAGAGATTGTTCCTGATAGGCACATTTAGAGCTGTCATGTATTACTAGACCATTTATGTTAAGTTGCATTTGCGTTTTCTCTAGTTTTTTACCTGCTGTTCTATTTTTATTAGAAGAAGATTCCATTCAATAATTCTTATATAGTTCTTTTTTGCTGCTCGAATTAATTTTTTTTTTGTGTTTTTATAACATTTATGCAGAATTCTGGACTTGTACGTACCTTGTTGTACCCATCTTTGGCAATTATTTATTATTCATGTTCATTCGATTTGAACAGAGATTGTTATTTTTTTGTTGAAATTAAAAAAATATTTGCCACTATCGACTTGATTCTCTTAACTCCACATAATTTTTACAGTACCTAGTTTTGGATGAATGAACAGGTTACTGAAGCAGTATTTTGATTTCAAAGAATTGTAGTCAATCGGAAATAGTCGACCTCGTTGTAAAAATATTCAACGTTAACAAAAAAAAAAAAGTCTTTTACACGTTCTCGTAAAATAACTTTCGAAGTAATGTTCTCCATATTTTCTTTTTCCAAGTAAAATGAAAAGGAAACGATCCGAGCGAAGTCACTTTGAACAAAATCGTTTTCGGTGACACCACTGTTAATTTTAGGTTAGATTAGGTTTAGGTGATAATATTTATTCGAATGTACATATGTACCTATATAGTTCCATACGATTAAAAAATTTCTAATCGGGGGAGACTGTGACAGATATAGAGTTAATACGTACTAGAAAGATGTAGAACTTGTATTAATCACGGCTACTCATTGCGAGAAATTTTTAAATAGTGCTATTTGTACATGCTGTGTATAAAAATTTGTTTTATGGCTAGGTATTTATAGATTTTAAAATGAATTTTCATGACACTTTTCAAATTAAGCACCATCAACAAGAAACAATGTCTGTTTTGTTTTCAAGTGACGATTATTTTCGTGATAGTACGTCTTAATTTGCACCATACACTTTGACGAATTGTAATTTGTCTCACTTAAATTGTGACAAATGTGAATTTGTGCACGTAATGTGTTTTCCTGAAACGTGAACTATTTTAACAAACTTTTAATGTTTGTTAACGAGAGACAGGGAAAATTTACGGAAGGGAGATGCTTGAGTATGTTACAAACACAAATGTAACTATGAGTAATTTATTTACAGTGAAAGTACTACCTACCGTAATCAGTACCTTGAAGACAATCTCACCATACATAAAGTGTCAGTCTGAAAAACTGATTGTTGAAGTTACGTCCAAGTTAAGTGCTAGTAACATCGGTCATAAATTTGTCATTATTTCTTGTTATGTTGTGTCTCATGGCATGGCTAATCCCTTGTATAATATAAACTTATTTTCTATCATAAATATTTAAATATATTGTAATAATTAACAAATTTGTTGTTGGTATTATAAAAATTACTATAATTCGTAATAGATTAGTAAGTAATTTATATGTACCTATGTTTCGATATATTATTGATTTAATAGCATGAAGTGTAAATACTGTATTTTGTCGTTGCTGCAGTCAAATGAATGTTTATGTCAAAATGAGTGGAACAATTGTTTCTTTTAATTTATGTTTTAATATATTTAACTGAATTTTGACACTGTGTTTAAATTTCACAAATTTCAAGTGAACCGTGGTACCCAGTATACAAAAAAGATGTAATGCAAAAAATTGTTAACAGAAATTATATTTTTCTATCAATACAATTACTATTTTCTTTAATAAAGTTGTATGCTTAAAAAATAATGTTGAATTATGGTATGTTAACACTAAACATTTGATTCAACAAGTGTGTTAAGGCCCGCGGTTGGGCGCCAATTTTAGCAAGTTATGAAAGTCCAAACAAAAGGTCCGAGAGGCGCTGTGTTTCAATGAAAAATAATGAAGATATTTCTTGCGCGCCTTCATATATTGCAAAATTAGTGTATATAACATAAATACGCAACAAACAAAACGTCACAAGTGAATAAAATCTATGAAAAACTAGTTTTTTTATGAATATGATTGTATATAATATATTATCAAAGAGTTGTTGTAGATAATGAATTGTTTCTTTTTCTACAGTCTTAGATTTCACAAACTGTATAAAATGTTAGTTATTTGTAAATCCTAGATAACTGAAGTCATTATTGATAAGGTAAAAATGTTACTAAAATAATTCAGATTTTTCTAACACAATTTACATTTTTTTTTAATCTTTTTCAATATATCGTAGTTTGAAGTGACTCTTTGTTTAATTTGTGTTTATCCTAAATTAACATAAAACAGTACCTACTCATCTAAATTTTACACTGAATTATCAAAAAGTTTTTTCTAATGAGTTAAATTTTGTAATCAAAAATTGTCAAGTCTACTATTGCTTACAAATCTAAATAGGTTTCAAAAATTATAATCTTTTGGATAAAAATAACAACAAACATTAATTTATCGCAAAAAATTATTAAATGGTCAATGACCTGAATGATATTGTCACATTAGACACATTGTCTTCCTGGGTTCGTACCGGAACCTTAGAAGACAGTGTGTGTGGTGAGCCATAGCGAGATACGAGTAAACTAGGTAATTAGTTTTCAGAGTTATTTTTTTTTTTTTGTAAAATGTGTTCGGTTATTTTGGAAAAATAGATTTTCTCTTAAGTTCCTCTAAAATTTTGAAGATTTCATTTTTATCTTATTCGTGTGGGTTTTTTTTGAAGATTTTTGGGAGCACGTGACAATATAGCCTTATATTAATTTAGAAAATTACAAGAAACCTTGTTAATCGTGTAACAATTATGCCGACAAACTCGTAAGAAATTCTATTCCTGAGGATTTAAATAGTTTAATTTTAATCTATTAAAAATTTGCAAGATTTTTAAATTAAGAGAATTCAACTACCACAGAAAGAAAAATTAAGAAGTTACTGAAGATAAAAGACTTTACTGGAGTTCCTACATACACTTCTTACATCCAATTTTGTTTATTGATCACATTCATTTACTCAGCACCAATGCTATAAAATGTAAAATGCACATGTACATATTTTACAAAAGATGTTGAAACTGTTGTTCATTTTCCCGCAACCACAAAGCCATTCTTCTTTTTTTATTTTCAAAAATGTCTTGCAACACTTCTTAATTAAGATTTTCATTACAAAAACGTGTAATTTTATCCATTAATTCTTCCAATGTGTGGACTCTATTTTTATAAACACTATCCTTCATCCATCCAAATGTTGAAAGTCAGGAGATCGGGAGGGGGGCGTTAATTTACACAAACTGTGAAAGGCGGCACACAATGTTAACAAAGTCATGGCCTACCTTACCCCAGTAGCAAGGAATATTTTTCTAATATTTATACAAGATTGATATAATATTAAATGTTGACTAGATATTACAAATATTTTTATAATATTAATTTTATATTTATAAATTTATATATGTAAGGAATTTCTCTCGTGAATGGGCTACGAGTCGCACATGGAAGGAATTCGACCAGCACTGGATACAGTTCCAAATAAACAATGACGTCATGGTACTCCACTGTGGTTATGGTCCACGAGGGGAGTCATTCGATTCGCAGCTATCGCCAAGAGAAGTACTCGTAAACTGAGCTGTCCGAATTGATTTTAATAAAATATCTGTTTTGAAAATGTTGAGTCTTATAGTGCAGCGGTGGGATCGGAACTTGTGTGTCCAGACCGCTCGCAAAGTGTGTGTGCATTTGAATGATAAAAATGCAAGAAAATAGCCGATCTCGTACCCGGGATTCACCGGACGAGGATGCTGAACGCCAGTACCGACGAAGCCGCCTTCGAGAACGCCTCGGAACGCGACCGCATGTATCAACTGCGTATCATGAGCCGCGCCGAACTGGACGCCTTCTCCAAGCAGAGCACGACGCCAGTCCCGAAGCGAACGTGCCCGTAATCCATCGCCTGAAGCTGATCGACCTTCAAATGAAAGAACTCGCAACGTAAGCACTTCTCATTCTAATTATAACTCGTTGAAAGACGACCGAATTGAACGATTAGAGCGTTTGGTGGAGACGTTAATTACCGACAAAATTACGCACGGGCGTGATTCATATGTTATGAAGTCGGATTGTATTCCGCAATTTTCACCTGGCGATTTGACGATGACAGCACAACGTTGTGTTGATAAGATAGACCAATTGGTGACAATCAACCAATGAACCGAAAAGACCACGAATTACCACATGCAGGGCCATTTTGCCGGGCTAGCAAAGACGTGGTATTATCACCTAATCGATTATCATTATTCGTGGGAACAGTGGAAAGCTTTGATTATTATTATTAAAACGTTTGCGAATCAAAACGAGTTTGCATCAAAATTTCGGGCATTGGAAAACCGAACAAAACTGAAAAACGAGACATGAACGCGTGTCAACGTTCAAAAGAGGGGAAATACGTAAAGTTAAACATCATAACTATCCTAAACGGGATAATGAGTCCGACGGGGATCACACCAAATACAAGCACCGCGATTTTAAATGTTTCAATTGCGGGGACAAGACGCATATAACAGCGAACTGTCCTAGACCACGTGTGAGTGCTCGAGATCCCACCGTTTGGGTTACGAAACCACTGATTGTAAACGACCCCTGTCTTCAAAAAAAAATGGAGTGTGACACTGACAAAAACGATACGCAAAAGTGCTATTTACGGATTGCTTGATAGATGGGAAACGATTTTGGGGCTATACCTTAAATACTGGCTACAGCATTATTGTTACCTTGACAGGGAGCGTTGCGAAAAGTTTGCAATTCGATTTGATAACGTGTCAAGTGATGATTGTGGGCTACGGAAATGGTCGCACGCAAGTTTTAGGTGAAACCACAATCCAACTCGAAGTCGATCTTGCTAAGGCCGAAGTGTAAGCCTCTGTTGTCGCTGATCGAGACCAATAGATCCCTGTAATGATTGGGCAAAGTTTCCTTAACAAAGCAAACGTTGTTGCTCTTGTTGTAAAGAAAGACGAAGTCAAATTATTCGATCCGGAGATGGTACAACTACCTCAAGTGGATGGCTTGCCACAGAAAAAGATCACTTTACAAGTGAAGGATGACGTCATCATTCCCGAAAACCATATCGGTTATGTTAAGATCGTGGAACGCCCACTATGCCAGGGAGAGATCTACATAGAACGTACCGAATGCTTGAAACCGGGGCAAGAATATTGTGTACCAAGCTGTGTTATCTCCGCAGATCAAGAAGTTCTCCCAGTTCTAATTTTTTTTGACACACGAATCAACTTCAAAGCTGAACATGTCCTTGGTAGAGGAGAGCTATGTTTGGAAGATGTTGCCACACCATGGGTGAGTGCTTTATCCTTACAGACTGCGCCTCTTCAACCGTTTACGATGGCTGATATAAGTAAACAAGTCGATGAAACTCTTCCTAAACATTTTAAACGTAGATTATTGCAACTCCTTAACGAGTACCGCGAATGTTTTGCAGAAAATAGTAACGAATTAGGTGTTACTCACGATGTTGAAATGTACATTAAATTGAGTGAAGATAAACCTATAACATATAGGCGATATCGGTTAGCTCCCAAAACGGGCGAAAGTTCGCGATGCGGTTCAAGAGCTTTAGATAGTGGTATTGTGGAAGAGTCTGACTCTCCCTATGCTAGTCCAATACTACTAATAAAAAAAAAAAAGACGGGTGAAACACGAATATGCATTGACTATCGTAAACTGAACAGTATCACGGTCAAAGACAAGTACCCACGGCCAAGGAAGTTACCGTGGTGACGAATATGCACCTTACGGCCAACGTTGTAAGCCAAAGAACGAACACACAATTTCTCATTGTGTTATGTCGACCATTGATGAGTTCAAGGCATCTCAAGTGTTAGCACGAGGGTATCCATGTGAAGAGAAGTTTCTTCATTTACCTCAAACGACGATAAAACGATAGAAGCTATTAGCAAATACTATTGATTTGCAAAAATGACAAAGTATGTCAAAAGATACAGATACATAGCTTGTTATCTGCCTTTGACAAGGGTCCGAATCCAATGCACACTCTACACATTGATCATTTAGGACTGTTTGTAAGAATTAGTAGGAAAAGCACCTATTTAATCACAACAATAGATGCTTTCACAAAGTTCATTTTTATGAAAGCAGTAAGGAATACGAAAACTGGACCAGCAATGTTATTCCCTAAAGGAATTTTTGGACTGTTTGGTATACCGGAAAGATTAATATGTGACAGAAGAACTTGCTTTATGAGCAAAAAGTTTCAAAACTACGGCAAGGAATGTGGCATTAAGATAACATTTAATGCTGCAGCAACGCTTCGGGCAAACGGTCAAATGGAACGATACAACAGAACGATTCTAAACGCATTAAGTTGTCCTGGTGAGAACAAAGTCAAATGGGACGAAAGAAAAACCTAATTACAATTTGGTTTGAACTCGACAGTATGTAAAATCATTGAAAAAAAAAAAAAGAAAATACGGATGACTTACTGTTGGATTATCGCCCATACAGTATAGACGATGCATATCTCCTACATACGTTTAGTTTTGACAATGAAACTCAGGATTTGCAACAGATACGGGCGAAAGGTGTCCAGAAGATGTGCGAAG